GCTAGCTAGCTAGCGAAGTCCATGGTAAACTAGCTAGCTAGAGAGAAGACTAAGGGGAGGTGGCTTCTCTGCATCCTAAAATTTCACTAAAAAGAAAAGAAAAAAGAACGAGAGAAACTGAACTAGCAGCAAGCGAACAAGAAAGAAAATCACCAAGAAAACAAGAGTAGACACACGAGAAAATAACGGGAGCAACACTGCAGCAGAAGCAAAACCGGGACGAGGCAGCTGGAGAGAAGCTACGCTTTCTAGTCAGCGCCAAACCTTTTTAAATTTGTGATAAGTAAAAAATACTGAGCTTTAGGAAGGGCAAGTCGCACGCATGACTGAGTCAAAGGCTACTTATGGAGAGGAGTTCAGTGCATATGTACCCCGGTGAAGAGTGCATGTGTATAGTAAGCTGTGAGCTTGCATGCATATATGCGTGTGCTGATTGGTTTTAATTAGCCGATAACCCACAGCGTGCAACAAGAGGTGCCTGTACACTTGATTTGAACTTGAACTACGCTTCTGTATTCCTACGAGCTGCAGAACCAACTAAAGAACAGAAGCAGTTTTTATGATTTACCTGAAGTATAAGGCCAACAGAAACCCCTCCATGTAGCACGTCCGCCATTTCAGGCCNTTTTTATGATTTACCTGAAGTATAAGGCCAACAGAAACCCCTCCATGTAGCACGTCCGCCATTTCAGGCCTGAAGAGCTGTGCCAAGCCCTCGTCTCCGCCTTCTATGCCTTCTAGAGGCCTATCAAGCGGGTCGTTTGAATCACCGCAGCAGCCAGCGCATGCATTTCCCATTTTGGGGCTTTGTTTGGCTGCAGTGCAGTTTGCCTTCTGCTTTTTTTGTTGACTACAGAGTGGTGGTCTTTGCTGCGGCCCCGTCGGCAAGCAACCCCAAATAGCTTCAATCGCGAGGATTCCTTGGCTACTGAACAACGACCCCTGGAATAAAAAGGCAAAGCCCCTCCGAAGAATAAATTAAAACAAGCAAAGATTTACAAATCAACTTAAAGATCAAAACGCTCTCCGTGCGGTCCGTTCACAGGCAGGTCACTGCATTGACTGCGCCAGCGCCGGCCTCGGCAATACGAGATGCGGCAAAAGGCGAGGAGGTCGGAAGGAATCAAAAGGTCTTTAAACAACCAAGGAAATATCTTTAAAGATAACAGTGAAAATCTTCCTAGGAGAAAAAAAAAAACCACGCAAGATCGTGTCGCTCAAGCTTCCCTCCTCGCCCGAGAAGAATGGTCAATATGTACGGTGACTACAGACGGCAACAGCTTTAAACTCACGTGCCGATTTGATCTTATCTTCCACTTTTACCTCGTGCTTTCATCCTTAAACAAGTCCCGATAACTATGGGGCTGCGGGCTCGGCAGCTTCTCAGTAAGCCTACGGTTGCTGGGCTGCCGCTGCGGCTAAGCAGCAACTACCGGTGCACTGCGGCCAACTCGCGCACACTGTCAGCAGTATTTCCCAAATTGAAACATAAAGACATTGAAC